ATTATCATTATTTATTCATTAATTATTATTATCATTATCATAATCATTATTATTGATTAATACCACTATCATTATCACTATTATTATTATAAACAGCAATAAATACTTCGTAAGCATACTTCCAAGAATGTAATCTCCAGTAAAAATTTAGAATGTCTTTCAAAATCGATTTTATTCCGATTTTAAATATTTGAGGAGGAAATGAATTTAGACTGAAAAGGAAAAAATTTTCTAATAGAAAATAAAGAAATGATAGTTTTGTCAATTTCTATCTGTATAATGTTTAAATTTTGAAAATATCTTCAATTTACTTTCACGGGATCATTGATTGATCATTTGATTTGCACAGTTGTGAGTTTAAAATAATCTGGTAGAAAAGAAATGGATGCGAAAGAATCATTCATATACGTCCGGTATTTCTACTGAATATCAAATCAATTTCTTAATCCTATTAAATTTCTTAACAATGGATGGATAATAGTATTATTTGTTATGTTATAGGTTTTCGAAGAGTTCTGAGGAGGATTCGGCATATGCCGGTTTTGGTAGTTCATCGCCCAATTCATCGGCCGAATCGTCCTCAATGAGTCTCAATTCAACATCCTCGAAGAATTCATCCTGCAGCGGTACCACAAATCATCCGAAAAACCGAGCATTGTCTGCCTTAACATTTCAACATAACACCACCGCTAATCATCGTTTCATTGGTGGAACAATCCAACCACCGTCAAGTCCACATGTATGATATTTTATGTACATCATAAATTTCACCTTGTCAAAATCCTCAATTTCAATATGAATAAGAATTTAAATGATTATTATTGCTGACAACAGTATACACTTCATAAGCATACTTCAAAATCTTCAAAAGTAGAAAAAACAAATATTGCAGTGGTTTTTTTAAAGTAAAAAATCACGCAAAACTAAATTGAGCAAAATGATTAATTCAATTTTTGTTAATTTGATACTTCTATTATCGAAGTTGGTACTATTCTCTTGTCTTCACCTTATTTTTTCCCCCATCACTTTAATCCAAAGAAAATCAACAGAAAAAGATTTAGGGTTAATTTGATATAAAATAAGTCATGAGTATCAAATGAAAATGCATTCATGCATTTTCATTTGATACTCATGACTTATTTTGCCCTTTTTTTCAATAATTTTTCTCAAATTTGATTTTTTTTTTAAATTTTCCTCAGAATGTTTCCACTTTCAGATAAAGTGATGCATTTAACTTCTTTGTTTTATATAATTTACATTGTTATTAAATACTACGTACATTATTATTAAAATACAAACGTAGTTTTTACTTGAAAATATAATTTTAATAAATTATAAATTTTGGTCCTTTTATTTTTGAGCTCCAATTTTGTGTGATTTTTACGACCTAAAATAACATCAATTTAAGTAAACGGAAATAAATCAATCCTAGAAACACTTTTATAAAGAATAAATATTGACGGATGGAAAAGTGTTCAAGACATTGTAATTTATCGATTTGGACTTATTGGATTCGAGTTAAACTTTCAGTCCTTTGTAAGGAAGAAAAATGCATCCTGAATAATTGAAACAATCCTGTTATTTTGCAAACATTTTAATATTATTAGCTGAATTGTATATATTGACCTCTGCCTAAGATATTTCTAATAGGTCACATTTATATTCGATGAAATAAAGTGTCTTGTAGTAACAATAAGAAAAAGAAGCCAACTTTGTTTAATTGAATATTTCAATTTGAGTTTTTTGTTATAATATTTTCAACTAAATACTATTACTGTTATTGATTATGCGTTCTTTCCCAGCTAATTTCTTTTTATTTTACTCTTACTTTTCAATTCGTTTCATCCTTCTATAACTTTTTATATTTGCTTAATGAATGTCCCATGTTATTTCATCATAAACGTATAAAAATGAAACATGCAAATATCGATCTTTAAGTATTAAATATAGTATAGTGAAATGTATACAGTATATTATTATTACAGTAAAATAAGACTGAGAATTAAAATAGCATTCACTAAAAGTACTTTTTTTTGCAATTTTTCACTTTTAATCAGAAGGTCTGACAGTGGAAGTTAATAGGCTTATTAAATTAATTACTGTTTTATACGATTTCATTCTTACAGGAATCAAAACCAATCTTGGCTGTAAAAGGAATCTCAGCACCCAAAGTCACACATTTAACCTCACCATCAAACAAATGCACATCGCCCACCGCAACAATTCCTCAGAATTCACCGACTTCTGACGAATCGTCTTCATCACAACGGCTTTCATCCGGTCCGGATTCCGGACAGCAATCTGAGGTCACTGCAACGGTGCCAACCTCAAATGCATCGGTGGTGAAGAATGCTACATCAACGCTTACAACAACAACAACAACAACAACAAAAACTACCAAAAGTATTGTTCCATCTCAAAGTCCGACAATTGGTGTTGTAAGTCCGATGATGAGTCATCGAGTTATCAAATTACCCCAGGCTTCCAACAATATCGCTGGTATGCTTTCTGACATTGAAATTAGGAACTGAAAAGTTAAAGCAAAAAAAAAATTAATTAATTAACATTGCTTATTTTTAGTAATATATAAATTATCTTTTGCATTATACTGAATAATTCTTATATTATTATTAAATGCATTTCTTTTGTGTTGAAGTAGTATTTGTAATTAGCAACCAATATTTTAGATGGTGGTAATCAAAGTGATACGTCAACAACATCAGGAAGTCGTGATTCAGATAATGCCAGTGTGATATATAATCCCATTGATGAGATAAATAATTCAACTACAAAAACAATTGTATCAGATAAAAAACCTCCGTAAATTTTTAATCATTCAAATTTGATGAATTTAATTACAATATTTGTATTGAATTAATATTTGTTTAGTTTTTTATATATATATGTGTGTGAATGTATTGTTAGAAAAATACATTAATGTTATTGACGAATGTAGAGAATGTACATATAGAACGAAATGTTTTAGGATAATTGACTTCTTATTGTTTACTCATTTGTCATGTCATCATCATTAGGATTCTACCTGTCATTATCATTTAGACCGGTGCCACCTGTGCGAACAAATAGTCGTTTGGAGACGACATTTGATTCTAATTGTGATGTGACGACATCGGAAATTACTACTATTTCAAAGAGTAATATTTCTACCTTTCCGGGATCGGATCTCGAAGGAATTCGTCCAATGGAACCAATCATACCATTAGTACCGCCACCATATAATGTTATCATTAGGAACGGGAAGACATTTCGACAAAATGCTCATTCGTCTGATGCTAGAAATGGTAAACTTTTCACTTTCTTTTTCTTAAAAGTAAATTTTTCACACTTTCGGTAAAATAAAATCAGTAAATTTTCTTTTTTTTTTTTGAGAGTATCATTTCGAGATAGAAAGTTATGATATTCACAGATATCTTCTAATTTTGTTCAAAAAAAAAAGAAAAGAAACAAAATGCAAAGAAACATAGACTATATCGATAGCGTGCAATATTTGTTTGTCAATAATTTATGTGAAAAATTTTTGCGGACAAAAAAAACCAAAAAATAAATTGTAAATAACATGTGTTTGTAAAAATTTCTATTTTTTAAGAATAAGAAATTACTACCTTGGAAAAGAACAAATTAAAAAAAGTATGATTTTGTCATCAAATGAATTTATGGTATTATGAAGAGGACAAACAAACTGCTGCTATATTGAATATTAAATTATCGGTTTTTTGTTTTCAAAAAATTTTGGACAAATTTATGGTACCATTGAAAAGCATCTTATCATAATAAAAGTAGGAAGTAATATTGAGTTGCAATTAGATCGAAAATAAAGAATTTAAATTAAAAGAAGTGACAGTTAGTTAATTTTACTTTCCGACCAAACTATTTAATTTTTTATGTGCGTTGCATTAACTTTTAGAGAAAAGAATAGTAAATAATTTGATTTTTTAAAAAAAGAAAAAGAATAGTATATTTGCTTTGTTTCATCCCTTTTTATGCTGAAATTTGGATTAAATATTATATATGATATCAAATATATTTGATATTGAGTATTTCTAGCCAAGGATAAAACGATAAGAAAGGATAGTGCCAATACCTAACTTAAACAAATTTAAAAAGTATTTTAGTGTCGTAGGAAATATCTGTTGTAATTTAACGTCAGGCACAAATACATTTGCTTTTAGCAGTAATTTAATTTTGGTTAAGATTTTTACTTTCAATAGTTATCGAATTCTAATATAGAAACTGAATTTGATAAATTTTAGTAATAAATATCCGGCTAAATATTTAACTATACGGCAATTGATAACTAGTGGTATATCTGATATCCGATTAGCAATTGACTGATAAATAATAGCACATGTGTTATTCGATTAGTAGCTTACAAGGAGAAAATGAAAAAAGTTCAAATTAATATACTTTCTGTGTAATTAATCGAGTTGTGGAGAAATTTGATGAATATTTGGCACGGTTATTAGATGAGATAATGATATGAGTGATGCTTTCTACTGTATTAGAGTACCATCGTTACCTGTGCACCTGTACACCTATCATGCACAATGTCCGTACATGAACAATATGCTAACATCAGGTCAATTAATGGGTCACTTCTTCCATCAAATAATAATTTTGCTTTGAAAGAAACATTATATGTATGTGAATGAATGTATGTTATATTCTTATTTATCAAAAGCATTCATCTTTTCTTTTTTCATTTTTATTTACCTTTCAACTTTAATGACATTGCTCGATTTCTCGATAATAATTGGAAAGAAATTTCTCAAACATCGATAAAATAAATACATTTTTTTAATTTAGAATTGCTAAAGGCCTTCTTTGAATCTCATTCTTAAGCGATTTTAAATTTTAAAATATCAGTCTTCTTTGTCTAACCGTGCTATATCCAAAAAGGAGGAAATAAATTAAATATTCACCTTCTAATAACATTTATGTTTATTGCACGCATTCAGTTAGTCATATTATTAAATGTGCTATTCATACTCATATCATTATAATAAATGATGAAATTTGAAGCTTTTATAGTAAGTGCTGAAAAATTGTTTACCGAATCATAATCGCAAATTGATGATAAATTTGAATAATTAATTTAACTAACCATTAGGTTTAATCCAATCAATCCAATCAACACTGCAAATTTTGAAAATTTCATTTATTATAAGCAACAACTGAAATTTGAATCGTAATACCCTCCAGCTGTCATTTGGAAATAAATTTTTTTTCCTCGTCGAATTAAATTAAATTTTTAATTAAATTTCTCTAGAAACTTTATTTTTCTAAAAAAAAACATTACAAAATTAACATATCTATGCTATTCTAAATTTTCCTAATTTATTTTATGAAATGGAGTAGAACTGAGAAGTGGAATGAATGTGTAAAATAGTCGGTGTCAGAGGTCATAAATACGTCCACCGATTATCCTTTCACTTTATTTTGTTTACATTTCTGGTGATTATAGCTTGTACTGCTATTCTTCTTAACCTTTCCATAAACATACATATATCTGCAGGATCACTTCGAGATAGTTCAACGAGTGACGATTCATTAGATTCCATCTCAACAACAATCCGATGTGCTGCACCGCATCGTCCGTCCGGTTATTTATCTGAGGGTGAATCGTTATTTACCGCCAACAGCACCATTCCGGAACTATCAATGGCTGGTAAGTAATTTTGGTACTAAAAGGTTAACGACCACTTGATTCTATGATTACACATTAATCTATGACGAATTGAACAAATTCTTAAAATATTCAGGAAAAAAAATAAAACCAGAAAATAATTCCTTTTCTTAAACTGATTTTTATATTAACATTTAGCCAATTGAAATTATTCGCGAAATATTAAGGAAATGAAAATGAAAAATATAGGAATGAGCGAGAAAATCATACTGTAAACGGTAATTCATTTTTCTTAAATTGATGAAAATGTTAGCATAGCTTTCCAAATTTATTTCAATCAATTCTTCTTCAAAGTGCATTCTGCGGGCTTAATGAACAATTCAACTCTTATTTTTCCAATTCAAAAATCTCCAGCTGTAATGATTATAAAAAAAAAAATTTGTATCTTTAAGCCATCGTTTTTTTTCTCTCTGTTTTTTTTTCTCTACATAAGTATCTCTTGCATAATGTGACAGTGATTGGTACGACTATCACTTACCGACCTAATTGCATTACTGTTATTGGTATCAGTAATATTAGTGGTACAAGTTGTTATTCTTGTTATTGTAGTAGCAGTCGTAATACTGGAAGTAATAGCAAAAGTAGTGATTAAGGGAAATATAATTATTTATTTACATAAATATAATTTTGTTTTCTTGATTATTCAAATGAATGGTAAGGGATGATTATAGGGAATGGTACTAGTTTTAATCCATTCAGCTTATAGATTTATAGCTAAAGAAGCCAAGCTAATAATTAAAGAAAGAAAGGCCACTTGGCTCAATTCATCTTAGTCTATTTATCTATCGATGAGTAGCACTTCTTTTTCGCTTTTATTCAATCAAATATTTGTTAGCAAGGGGAATATACAATACATGTGTATACATTACTTAGTACTTAAATGCTTAATTAAAAGAAATTATTTATTCGTAATTTGCATTTTAATTTTTAATTTCATTATACATAAATAGATATTTCAAGATTTCGCAGAATTTAGTAACATTTTATTTTACGTTTGATATAAATTCCATCACTAACTGGATCGCACAAAACATCAATTTTCTCACCTTTGACCTCTTTTTTCTCATAATTCATATTGAAGTTTTCGACAACCTGTTCTTATCTTTGACTTCTTTTTTTTTCATAATTAATTCATATTGAAGTTATTCAATCTTAGATTATTTCGTCAAAGTTAAATGAAATAATTTGATGGGCGCATTATAAAAACTAAACTAATGTAAAATATGGGTAGATTGATAAACAATTTTGTATACGATGTAATTTAAATTAACGAAACAATTTAAAAAATAATATAAGTTGCTAAAAAAAAGTCTGATCATTAACATTCATTGAACTGTCTATTTAACGTGTTTAATAAGTCATTACAAATGAAAAAGACTTTAGACAATTTTTTTTTTTAAATTTTTCTACAAGCAACAAAAAACAAAAAAGTGATTTTATTCAGTATGGTTGGTAATTGACCTTTAAATGTGATCAATATTTGAAGGCTAACAAAAAATTAAATAATATTTTCTTCTTCATTCCCTCAACAATTCCCTTCCATTTCCGTTCATCATTTAATCTTCCCACTGAGTAATAGCTTCGTTGAAAACAGCAAAGGTTAAAAGGTTAGCAATCATTCTAACTGCTGATGACGACAATTACACACAAAGTGCAATGAACAAAAAAAGGTTAAAGATGACATTTTAATACAAGTAAAGTGTAGTCACCTGTTGTCGTCTTCTCTTTCACATTCTTCTTTTTTTGATTTATCTGACAACTCTGCTCTTTTCCTTCGTTTTTCTTTAAAAAAAAAAAAAAGAGATTTATTATGTCAATTTAACGAAAATTATTTTTATTACAATATCATCCAAAAATGTTGAAAATCATTTTAAAATCCAAAATATTGCTTCATTATCATACTTCTGTTTGATATATTTGTTTTTTTAATTTGTTTAAAATTTGCACATTTTATAAATATCCAAAAAAACGATGCAAAAGGCAAAAGTTAAAAAAAATAAAACTTTTTTTTTTTGTTTTCTGACTTTTTATTTCCCTTTAAAAAATTATATCGGTGCTAATAATATTATATCTGAAAGTTAATAAAAATTAAGCCAATAAAGTCTATGAAGTTTTCGAAATAAACACTTTTGAAGTAACGGTAAGTAAAAAAACACAATGCAAGATATTTTTTTGATCTAATTAGCAACTTATCAACGATTTAATAAAACTTAGTAAAAAATAAAAGAAAAAGTGAAAGTTGATGAAATTTTATAACCAAATTGTACTAATTGAAGGTATTAATAATATTAAACCATTGCTGATTATTTAATTTTTGCAATCAAAATTTTTAGTATTTCGATAAAAATGCCTTATTACTTTAAGACTACTCAATGTTGGGTGAGTTCATTTGTAACATTTTAATAAAATTTCAGAAGTTTTATTTTCCAAATTATAAAAGACTGAATAAAACTTTCTTTTTTTTCTTATTTTCCTTCTGTCATATATATTTTTTATATAGGGCATTTCATATTATTTGTTAATATTCGATCGGCAATGAAAAGGAATGAAAGAGAGTAAAGTAGCTAATATGAAATCAATTACTTATTGACATAAAATCAGTATTAATTATTGCAAATATACTGTTGAAATATTGCTTTAATAATGTTTAAACAAAACTATAACTGGTAACTTTTATCATGCTAAGAAAGAGAGGATAAAATTTACGCAAATTCGCAATAAATCCCACATTTATCAGATATCAAAATTTTTACTTCATATGCTTACATTAACTAATAGAGAAGACTTTTGAAATTTTTCGAAAATGAATTGAATGAAAAAACTTCCAATGATAGAATTTGATTATTTTCTTTCTCTTTCTTTTTCTCTTTTATCAATCTTTTTCAGATTTTTTCTTATATTTAGTTGAATTTCTTCAGAAGCAAAGAAAATTTGGAAGTATTTGATAACAAAGTAAAAAGGTTTATTGCAGTAATTTCAGATGTTAGCAATGGTTATATGAGTGAAGGCGGAATTACCGTATACGCTCGTAAAATGCAGGCCCGTTTTAAGGAAGGACTTGAAGCGGTGAGGCAGCGAAATCACGATTTCAATGATAGGTTCGTTCACTAACCACTAATTATAACACCTTTCTTTCATTTTATTTATTTCACAATCATTTTTCTTTATCTCTTTCTTTTATCTTTTCCATTTGCAATTTAAATTAATAATTTATTTC